AGGAGATTGTCCCTCCTTCCCCGGCAGAGCATCTGGTGGATTCGAACCGTGCGCCTCTGGGATTGTAGTTGCAGCTCCTTGCCACTAGGCCACCAGAGCGCCCCTGAAAGTAGTATTTTTCTTATTCCACTTGGGCCTTGCTTTTAGAAGATTGTAAATTTGATACAGTTTTGATAACAGGAAAAAGTTGTTTAGCCTCCTTATAAAATGGCCCGTGTATTTCTGTATGCTATTCTATAAGTTAACAAATATAGTTAAATATATATTAAAAAATATAAGTATAAATTAAAATACTTAGTGTGACATATAAGTAAAGAGAAAATGACTTTAATAAGCCAAGTTTAGAAGAGTAGGGTTTTGGGGCCTGGGATTTTTTTGACCCATGGATGGCATTCCATTAACCCTTGAAGAAACATGAGGAATGTAAAGAATCTCTGATACTATTTGTGGTATTTGTAGTGTCAAGATCTGGTTTCTACACTGAAATCTGAAGGCCAAGTGTTCCATTTCTGAGAGAACCCTTTTAATTTATCTTCAAAAAAGAATATGTTAGCTCATCGTACTAAACTTTTGATACTTTTTTTCAGAGCTATTTTTGTTACAGTGCCAAAAGAGTTAAACCCTGGGTTATCCAGAGGCTGCTGATGTAAACGGAGATAGTTGGTATGTGTATTGCTTGTGACAGTTTTGGTGAAGGGGCTGTAGAGCCTTCCTTTCTCTTGTCAGAGTGTTTACGTCTGACAGCATTTCTCTGCGTGAAAGAAGAGTCTGCTCTGGCTCTTCACAGTCCTTGGCACTGGAGATTTTGTGGGAAGATCTGACTCCTCTCTGGGAAAGGCACACGTGCGCGGTAGCTGGACGTTTCCTCTCCTGCAGGAGATGACAGGGCTGGGGAGCACCCGAAGGCTGGCTTGTCTTTCATGCCTCTACCACTTGAGTTCGGGCTCCTGCCTGTTCCAGGCACAGCGTAACGAGTGCCTCAGGAGATGTAGTGAAATACTGTGAAAGTAACAGAAGGAAGAGAGCTGTGTGCAGATAGAAGGCTTTGTGGAGATGTTTGTGGTCTGGGCTACTGTGATGGTGTAGATTTTGAACAAGCAGAGAGCGAGAGAGACCCTGCTGGGCAGCACTTTACAATTAGGAAAGAATATCAGGGAACTTAGAGACCATAAAAAGGAAATTCCAAATGACAGACTTGAGATTTGATAGATAGTTGGGGTGATCATGATAATGGAAGGAAATGTCTTTGTTTTTGTTTGTGTTTTTTTTTAAAAAAAAAAACTACACCAAAATATAAGGCTATGAAGAAAAAAACCAGGACTATGACTTCATGAGGTTGAAAGTTAAGAGGTTTAATTTTGAAAGTTTTTCAAAAATAATAGCTATGTTGAGATATAGTTTATATACCACAAAATTCATTCTTTTAAAATGTATAGTGTGATGGCTTTCAGTATAACAACAGCTGTATCATCACCACTGTCTAGTTCCAGAATGTCATCACTTCCCAAAAGAAACCTTATTAAAACCTTATTAAAAGAATCCTTATTAAAAGAATCACTCTTGCTAAGTGTCGTTGAGTCATAGACGACTCATAGCAACCCTATGAACGAAAGAACTGAACGCTTGTATAACTTCCATCAAGTTCATTGCCTTTCTGGAGACAAGCTATTGCGGAAGTGGATGCCACTCCTGTTTCCAAGCTTGTTTTAATTGGGGAGCTCCACCACACACTGTCCACCGTGGGCATTTGACACATCAGCATTGCAGTGTTTAGCATCACAACCCCATGATTTACCTCTGTACAGCAAATGGACCAGGGCTACACCACCTAGAAGGATGTATGACCAAACTGGTTAAAACCAGGCCTGAGGACTGCTGATTAAAATCACCCATGTTTGGCTTGGTACCATCACTCTCTGTCCACTAGGCCAACTGAGCTCTCTCTGTGTTGTTGTTGTTAAGTGCCGTTGTTAGCATTATTTTCATCAGCCTTATGCAACCCCTTAACTATTTCGCTCTCATTCTAGATATCTCAAATAGATAAACTAATATATTAGGTGGTAACCTTTGATTGGTGTCTTAGTGTAAATTTTTCATAATTTATGTTGTAATGTGTATTGCTAACTTATGACATTCCTTGCTGAATAATGCTACATTGTATGAATATACTACATTTTGTGTATTTGTCATTTGTTGAATTGTTTGTATTGTTTCTACTTTGTGACCCTTAGAACTAATGCTTCTGTGAAGAATCACGTACAAATTTTATCTCTGTACATATACTTTTGTTTCTCCTGTGTATTTAGCATGTTGTTGTTGTCATGTGCAGTCAAGTCACTTGTGACAGCAGTGCTTA